TGACTTCGGGCTTTACAGAGGGGAGGAGGAACATCAAAGTAGGAAAAAGCAGAGAGGGGGAACAGAAGAGACAGACACTAAGGCAGAGAAAAGGTAGGATAAGTATGGTGAAATGATTGAATAAGACATACAGTGGGGTCATGGTAGTTTGAAGTGATAAGTCGACTGCCGGTTTATGGATTTTTTTCCGCATCAGTATGCGTTGCCCATGGTGCACCGCGTGGAGATAAGTCGATCGCACACCCCGTAATACATGGAGATAGGCAGACATGAGTCAGTGGGCCTAACTACTACATGTACTTCATAAAAATTCGTATTAATAAAAAAAGGTTTAATTGAAATTTTTGAATTAAACATACAGTTATTTTCTTACAGACCATCTTAAAAAATCGTTCGGATGAATTAATCGATTCGATTTATCAACATTTCCAACTTCTTGAGATGGTTGCAATTCAGTCAGAAATAACTCGACTAATTGAACTTCAAATAGAAACTCTTCCACAGAATTTCTCGGAAATCAGTGTTAAAATGAAGGCTGTTTCGGATTATGTTGCTGATTTAATTAATAAGGAAAAAAAATTAATTACGTTGCTTTCAACCGAATGTGGAAGTGTTGAAAAGTGCGTTAACTTGGTTGTGAGTTTCCTTTATATATAAAGAAATTACTTGCTCTCTTATTAAAAACGGAATGAAGATGCGTGTATATCTGATGAAAATGTATTCAATTTACGCGACTGACAGTAAATCTTTGTCAACTGCTTTTAGAACTTCTTAAACTCTTCTGTTAGTCAGCTGACTAACATTAACTTTCAACACAACCCTGTTCCAAATCTAATCGCAAATTTGAAAAGTTTTCAAATCCAATTAAACCCCTGGTTTCAAGTTGTCAGAAACTTCAATCAATCTCTTTCTAATCTACGGAGTAAACTCGCCAGCAATCCAACGTCCTTCAGTCTAAAATTATCTTCGTCAGCTGAAGCTTCATGGAGGCGTTTTGAGATCTGGGGCATCAAAATACTACAATGGATCGGGGATTTCAATAAAACTACGATCCCAGATTTAGACAAAACATTGAAAATTTGTGTCACTGCAATTGTCAGTACCGTTAGTGGCGTTTTTGCAGCCCTGGTAGTTCTCGTGCTAATCTTCCTATTGGGCTTTATCTATGCCACAATTATGGAACGATGCTTCAAAAATACAAGTAACTTTTCTTTCCTACAATAAACTTACTAACCAAACATTTTATTTCCAATGGTTTTTTTAATTAATTCAAATTGAGCCACCATTTCAAGTTTAGCAAATAAATTATCCACAACTAAGTCATTTAATTATTATTATATGAATGGCACTAGACATATAATACGGGATAATCTCCATTATTAAAAACCGTTAATAGAGACGGAAGACCCATTATAAGCAGGATGGGTCCTACTTTTCACTCTTAAATACTTTTGCTTTCCTTAATTTTTCCCTGTATCTTCAATAGTTTGTTTTCGGCCACAAAACTTGACATCCTATCATACCTTGTCATTGGCCATACTGAAACTAAGCCCTTCCTAGATAACCATTGGAGTTATATGAAAGGAAATGTTGTCCAGATTTAGAATTTTAATACATTTTGGAAGATTGCATGGAGTCCAGAATTGTGTCGTTCAGTTAGGGGACGCATCAATACATCACATATTTGTATATCATATGATTGATATGATTCAATGACAAAACCTACAGTTTTAAGTCAGGGTGACTGAGACGGATTCCAGCACATCCTTAGTTCTTAGGTCTGCAACCTTGATCTACCCTTTATTTAGTATGTGCTATATTTCAGGATCTCCAAAGGCACCAACACCAGCCTGTATTTCAAATGTAGCTTGGCTCTGCGGCTTATTATCAATCGTAATAATGCTAATAACTGTTCTAGTAATCTGCACAACTTTTGGTAGCGCCTTCCTCTTTACTGAAGGTGCTGTTTACTTCAATCAATATTCGGATGATCTAAGGAAGGCAGATCATATTTTGAATGGTCTTATTCGTGGAATCTGGCCTGAAATAGACATTATGCAGGAACTAGGACTGCCGCCTCCAAACAATGTATTCAATATTCTTCTGAATGAATGTAAATTGCCAAATGTAAGCCTCTTATCGTTGATTGGCTGGAAGAACTTTCCTGCAAAACCCGTATTACTCTTAAAAGAACAGTATCCAAATATGCTCCAACAATGGAAAATGTAGGTTAAGCAAAATCTAAAAACGTACTTGCTATTTGAGATTTACATTAAAATTATTTATTTAAGTTTTTCCCTTTTTGTCTAGTTTTATCTTCCCAATATTTGAAAATTTGCAAAAGACTTTTTCTAATGAAAGTGATATTGCAAAGATTAGAATGAGTCTAGCACAGGTAGCTGCGATTCAAAAGTCCATATTGGTAAGCTCTTAACTGCATCTAGCCTGAATGAGCCCAGAGACTATCTACTTATATATATATTTAAGTATAACAATTTATATACTTCCATTTCAGCTTACCCAAGACGAATTCTCACCAAGGAAACTGGAGCGAACGCATTTGGAATCGTTATCAAATCATATGAATTCTATAAAGTCGATGGTTCCACAGGCTGAAGATGAAATTAACAACCTTAATCAACTGTATCAAAGAACAATGGAGATCAAATCTTTGATGGCTAATATTACAGAGGCATCGAAGCAACACCAAACGCTGGATGAGTTAGAATTGATTGCTGGTAGCTTCCTTCATTGGTTGGAGAATTTAGCTAAGGTGATCTAAATGTATTAATTGCTGTGGAGTCATATGCCAGCAAATTTGTGAATCCTCTGCTTAGTTTAGATGATAATAATAATATAACTATTATCACCACCTGATAAAATATGAACCAATTAAGCAATGCCAATTATTGAGTGGAAGACCTGTAACTCAAATAATAGCTAAATAACTATGACAATTCGAGAGTGATTGGTAGCCTATTTAGTAGCTCAGAAATAACTAGGTTTAATTAACGCTTTAGTTTTCAGAAGCAAATTCTGATAAGGTCACTAAAATGCTTCATTCCACATTCCCACAGATAATTGCGCAATAAAGCCTCACTACTCCCAGCTTTACGGCCACCGCAAGAGTTAATGTTGAAAATGCTTCAACATGGTAGTGGTCTAACTAATTGTGAAAAGTAAAGGCAAACGAAGGGAAATCGGAAAGGAACAATTATTAGCGCTGAATGGTTGGGACTTGAATGAGAGTTCAACGAAGAGTCGGCAAATTTAAAAGCTATAGTTGCTTGCACTAGACTGAGGCTTAATCAGTAATGCCAACAATACTTAAGCTGATCAACTGGTCCGGTTTATTCAACATTTCAGGAATTGGATAATCCTTCAAATCTGGAAGCGATTATATCAGAAATACTTAAGAAGATATCCAATCAAATTGGGGATAGTCTCATAGACGTAACCCATTCATACTCTACCCAATTGGTCTCATGTTCAACTTTACACAGAACCCTTTCGGGAGTTTTGGAAACTCTTTGTGGAGACCAGGGCCTTTTACAAGAAATATTTGCCTGGGGCCTAATCGTTTTTATCGAAGCTGCTATTCTATTTCTCATTATTATTTTCGTGATATTCAGCCTATACTCACTCAATGAAACAGTCCCTCCAGAATCCGTTGCAGAAATTACTAGATTTTAACGAAACGTTGAAAAAAACAATCTTTTGAAATTTGACTGAGATTTACTCATGATTATGGCACTATTTGACGAACTTTAAATGATTTTAACAATAAATCTGTGATTAAATCCTATATCACCTTTGAATCACTATGCCGAGAATTCTAGGGATGAACTTTGGTTTACCTTACTACTATTTTGTTAAAAAGTAGACATTTTGAAGCCACCCAATCTTCGCATTCCTTTCAAATGAACCCAGAGGAATTCTTCAAGCCTTCTTCCAATAAAGTCCTTGAGGGTATCCAAAAGTATTGCCTCACTTTCGATAAAGCATAATTTTGCTCTATGAATATAGCGAATGCAGCGAATCCATATCCAGAGTGACTTTGAGAAGTTCTGATTCGGTGCCATTGATTTGATATTCAATTGGATTTGCCCAATCCCTAATCTTCCCCGAGTCTAGAGTTGAAACAAAGGTTTATGAGTCAAACTTCAATTGTAAGGTGATTTTTTAAAGAATGCTAATGAAACCAGTACTAATTTCTCCTTGAATAATATGGAGATGAACGGTCAATACTCTCCAGAACTTCAGTATCAAATGACTAACTACTCTGAAGGAGATATTGGTCTTGGTGTTCAAGTTTTGTAACTTTTAACTTAAACTGAACCTATTCAGAGGTTCAGAGCTAAGTCAGAAATCATATAAAGAACATTCGCTTTAGAAGCCACGATCGTGTTGGTAGGGCAAGTAGACAATGCAGTCATAGCTATGATCGTAAAACCTGCTAATTGGATGCTGATATGGTATTAAATTCAATCGTAAAGGCACCTGACATGCTTAATTCAGAAGTCTGAACTCAAACTGTTGACCGAAATTCACAAGACTTTAGTAAAGGAATGTATATTATATGCAGCTGAATTTGTAATTTGGACAAGCCATTAAATGAGTTCCGAACCCTTTTAACAAATTTGACACGATCGTTATAGTGAGAATATGGCATTCCTGAAATCTATGGGGAGTGATAAAGTGAGGTTTGATTCCAATTATAAAGCGCGAGAAGTAAATCCACCGTTTTTCGCATCTTTTTATAAGTTATCAACTTTAAAAATTGTGAAATATCTAAATCAGCTAATTTCTTAATATGTTATGCTATTATTATAGATGATGGCTAATCTAGTTCAACTTATTCCGAGTTTAACAAACCTGAAGGCCATTAGAAATTATAGCAAATCTGGGATTCGGTGACTATCCATAGTTTTTTTTATTTAAAAGAAATATTTGTTTAAATATAGTGAATGAAAAGTGGTTTATGTGATTAATAAGCCAAACTAGGCTTAGCACCATCAATTTTATCACAAAACTGAAGCATATAAATTGCAAAGCTTTGGGTGTTACCCGATAAAATTAGAGTGGAAATAATTTATTCAAATAAATTAAGATCTATGAGAATGTCTCCAGAATTTCTTACGCGTCAATGACGAAACGTTTAATATGAGTGTCAACTAAATCAGAGATCAGAGAAGAGAAATCGGTGTCACGGTACCTGTTTCCATGTGCATCCAGCACTTGTTTCAGTGAGTCAGAGAATTTTTCAGAATTCTTTTTTTATAAAATTTTAGGTTAGGATAGAGCTCTTTTTTCGCCTCATAACCAGTGTAGAAATTAACAATTAGCATTCTGCTAGGATGTGCGATAGCCTTTCCTCCACGTGGAGCACCCTGGGCAACATATACTCATACGGTAAAAAGTCTTTGAATTGACAGTTGACTTCTGAATTCAAACTATCACGACCCCACTGCATGTAATATTCGATCACTTCCGCAGTACTCACCTCACCTTATCTTTTTCTCTACCTTTGTGTCTGTCTCTTTTACATCTGTGAATCACTCTTCTGTTCAATCTCTCGAAATTTTCTCACTTTGATGCTTCTCCTCTCGACGAAATCTGAAATCAGCTAGATTGCTAATGAAAACTATCAAAACGCCTGCCATTTAAAATAAATATATAAAATAAGTGAATTTTTCTACTTACATATTTGCTTACTATTTTTGGAGCGAAAGTCAAAACTATTTTGAAATGAAGATCTTTAATTTTCTTCATATTCACGCCAAATATGTGTTTAACTTAAAGTTGTGATAAACAATGACTCAGAATTCAAATTTAACTCCCGAATACAGTCATCAATCACTCATGAGGCTTACGTCTAACGCACCAAACCACAGTAGTGTAAGTAATTTAATATAATTACCACCAAGCTTCAGTGTCGAAAGGGAGGAGGGAGTGAGGGTGGGGGAGGGTGGGGTGG